AATATTTCTTCTTAAAATTTCAAAAAAAAAAAAAAAAAACTGGAGAATGCTTCCTAACTCATCTTATGAAACCAAATTTACCCTGATACCAAAGCCAGACAAAGGCACTATCAGGAAACTACAGACTAATATCCCTTGTGGATATTGATTCAAAAATCCTGAAAGAAAGAAAATAAGAAAGAAAGAAAGAAAGAAAGAAAGAAAGAAAGAAAGAAGAAAGAAAAGAAAGAAGAAAGAAAACAAATACAACATTATATTAAAAAGACTATATACCATAATTACATTAGATTTATTCCTGGAATATAAGAATGGCTTAACAAACAAAAATTAACCAATGTAATATACCACATTAACAGAAGAAAAATAAAAACATGATCATTTCAATTATTTCAATTGATGCAGAAAAAAACATTTGACAAAATCCAACACCATTTATGATAAAACACTCAATAAATTATGTATTACAAGGAAATTACCTTAACATAATAAAATCCATATATAAAAAATCCACAAAGAATTTATATTTGATGTTGAAAAACTGAAAACTTTCCTCTAAGATCAGGAACAAGGCAAGTATACCAGCTTTGCCACTTCTATTAAACATAGCACTGGAAGACCCTGCCAGAACAATTAGGCAAGAAAAGGAAATAATAGGTATCCAAATTGGAAGGAAAAAGTAAAATAACCTGTTTTCACATATAATATTATTTTATATGTAGAAATTCCTAAAGATTCCACAAAATAGTGTTAGAATCAATAAATGAATTCAGCAAATTAGCAGGATTACAATGTCAATGCTAAAAAATCAGTTGCACTTCTATATACAAACAATGAACAATCTGAAAAGGATAGTAAGAAAACAACTCTAGGGGCGCCTCGGTGGCCCAGTCTGTTGAGCATGTGACTCTTGATTTCAGCTCAGATCATGATCCCAGGGTTGTGGGATTAAGCCCTGGTCAGGCTCCATGATGAATGTGGAGTCTGTTTGAGATTCATACTCTCTCTCCTTCTGCCCCTTTCCCCCACTCACACTGTCTCTCCCTCTCTCTCTCTCTCTAAAATAAAAAGAAAAGAAGAGAAAACTGCATTTAAAAAGCATTGAAAAATAAAATTAACTTAACCAAGCAGGCAAAAGACATGTGTGATGAAAACTACAAAACATTGCTAAAATAAATTAAAGAAGACATAAATAAATGGTAACACATCCCATGTTTATGGATTGGAAAACTTAATATTTTTAAGATATTATTACTACTACAAAGTGATCTACAGATTTAATGCAATGTCTATCAAAATCCCAAAGATTTTTTTTGCAGAAACAGAAAAAAAACATTCTAAGATCAATATAAAATCTCCAAATACCCCAAATAGCCATAACAATAATTAAAAAGAAGAACAAAATTGGAGGGCTCATAATTCCTGATTTTAAAATTTCTACACTACAGAAATATAAGCAGTGTACTACTGGAATAGACATATAGAGCAATGGAATAGAATAAAGAACCCATAAATAAATTCTCATATATGGTCACATGAGTTTTGATGATGTCTCAAGATCATTTACTGGGGAAAGGATAGTCTTTTCAACGAACAACACTAAGAAAATTGGATATTCCAATTTTAAGATTTCCAATTCCTAAAAACATAAAGTTGGACCATTATCTATCACTATATAAAAAAATTAACTCATAACAAATCAAAGTCCTGAATATAAGACTTAAAACTATGAAACTCTTAAAAGAACACTTAGGACCAAAAATTCAGAACATTGAATTTGGCAATGGTTACATGGATATGACAATAAAGCACAGTCAACAAAAGAAAAAATAGATAAATTGTACTTCAAGAAGCTTAAGAATGTTTTGTGCATCAAAGGACACTATCAACAGAGTAAAAAGATAATCTATGAAATGGGACAACATATTTGAAAATCATAGATCTAATAAGGCATCAATTTTCAGACCATATCAAGAACTCCTAAAATTGAATTCCCAAAATAAACAGCTTGATTCAAAAATGGGCACAGGGCTTGAGTAGACTTTTCTTCAAAAAATATTGCATGTGGCAGATAAGCCCAGGAAAAGGTACTCAATATCACAAATTATTAGGGAAATACAGATCAAACCTATAACAGTTACCATCTCACACCCATTAAGATAACTACTACCAAAGCAAAATAAAACAGAAAATAAATGTTGACAAGAATGTGAAGAGACTGAAACTCTTGCAAACTATTGTAGGAATGTAAAATGATACAGCTTCTATATGAAAAAAAATAATTGTTCCTCAAAAATTAAGAATAGGGTTACCCTGTGAGCCAACAATTGCATTTCTGGGTATAGCCATAAGCATTGAAAGCAAGGTCTCAAAGAGATATTTGTACAGCCATGTTTTTAGTAGCATTATTCACAGCAACTAAAATGTGGAAACAACCCAAATGGGCAGATGAATGATAAGCAAAATATCATTTACATACATAAACTAAAATACTATTCAGCACTAAAAAGGAAGAAAATTGTCACATATGTTATAATATGCATTAACCTTAAAGACATTATAGTAAGTGAATAAGCCATTCTCAAGAAGATAAATACTATATAATTCTATTTACATAAAGTACTTAGAGTAGTTTAAATCAATGAAAGTAGAATGGTGGTTTCCAGGGGCTAGGTGGATAAGAGAATGAGGAGTTATTGTTCAGTGGGTATAGAGTTTTAGGTGTGCAACATGAAATGAGTTCTGGTAATTTCTGATGGTATTGATTACACAACAGTTTGAATGTAGTAACATTACAGCTGTACACTTTAAATGGTTAAGATGGCAAATTTTATATTCTTTGTATTTTATCTTAATTAAAATGGGAAAAATGAATGAAAATGCCCAATTGGGATAAGGATAATGGAAAAATAATATAATCATTAGTCATGTGACATTCAATTTAGTCCCTTCAGAAGGTAATAGACATTATGTTTTAAAGAAGCTCTGAGCATTAAAGAACATATTTAAGGAAACCCAATGCAGAGCTATAACACTGAAATATCAGAAGTTAGCTAAGTATTCATCAATAAAGTGAAAGTTCAATAAATTATAGTGTACTCACTAAATTAACAAAGCATAAATTTTTCATGAAAACTACATAGACTATGAAAAGTACTTTAGCTGTGCAACTTAATTTATTGTTTTAAATTTGCATTCAAGAAGTTCATTCTCTTTAGTGGACAGTTCTATGACTTTTGATAAATATATAAAATCATGTAACATATGCCATCACAATCAAGATACAAAATAGTTCCATCATGCAAAAAAATTCTGTTATCCTTCTCCTTGATTCAACCACTCCACTTATCCTCAAACCATGGAAAACAGGATGTTCTCTGTCACTATAATTTTAACTTTTACATAATGTCAAATGGAATCATAATATGTACACTTTCGAGTCTGACTTCTTTCACTTGTAATGCATTTGAAATTCATCTATGTTGATTTGTGTATCAATAGTTCATTCCTCTTTATTGCTGAATAGTATTCCATATATTATTTCATGTACAGTAATTCATGTATAGTATTCCATGTATTATTTCATAGTAGGTTATCATTCAACAGTTGAAGGATATTTCAGCTTCCAGTTTTGATGTTATGGTTCTCTTGTATGAAAAGAATCAAGGTAATTTAGTCAGGATTTGAAGGGTGTCATACTTGAGATTATAACACTTTCTAATTCCTATCTCATTATCAGATTCTCAGACACAGGTAACTCTGAAATTAGGGAAAAACACTAAAATGAAAAGCAAAATTTTTAATTTACTTAATGTTATACTTCAATAAAGTTAATTTTTGCATGTATTTTTCATAAATAAAATGAGACTTTTGAACTGAATCAGTTTTTAAAGATTGAGGTTCCTCCTCCCCCAAATCTTATGTTACTCTTAGTAAGTTAAAAAAAAAAACAACAATATAATCATAGGGATAATTTTTCTTGGTTTTCTATTAAAAATTAAATCAGGTATCTAAAAAGTATTATAAAACAATTAAAATATTCTCCATTTTCCCTGAAAAGGCTCAAAAAAGAGGAACTGCATCGTGAGATGCACCCATGGAAAAGCACCCAAATATCCTCTTTATCATTTCTTTTTTCTTTTTTTCAATGTTTATTTCTTTTGAGAGAGAGAGAGAGTAAGAACATGTTGAGTGGGGAAGGGACAGAGAATCCCAAGAAGGCTTTGCCCTGTCAGTGCATAGCCCAACACAGGGCTTTATCTCACGTGGTACCATGATGTGAGCCAAAATCAAGAGTCAATGCTTAACCGACTGAGTCACTACTGCATTTATTTTTTCAAAGGCTTATTTATAATGGTAGATCCTCTCACACAAAATCACTTTCATCTTCTCTTTTTTCCATATTCTAGATCTACTTTTTTTCTTCAATAAGTAGATATAGTTTAAAATGTAAATCAGTTTAGATGTTCAATTTTTGTATTCATTAATATAATCAATGCTCATAGCTTCTGCCTTGCAATAGTAAACCATGATTCTCAAAAGTCTTAAATTAAAGACAACAAAAAAATCTTAAGAGAGTTATTCCAGTAAAGGTGATCTAGAAGCACATTCTAACTGACCATAATGGATGACAAAGAGAAGAGATATAATGATTTCCACCTCTTATATTTGTAATTCTTGTCTGTGGGTGTTTTGTATTATATTTGTATTTATTAATCTTAATCACTGAGACTTACTTTTAAATATATTTTGATAGAAGTATCTTCCTCATTAGCATTTTATATTACTTTAATAGCATTGACAATTGTAGCTAAATATATTTCTAAATATAAACGTTCATTTGTGCTATTTCACTGAAAAAAGGTGTTGATTCTTCTGGTATGAAATATATAAATGAAAGGAAAATGAACTTCCATAATTAAAATTTCTACACATTTAATAGGGAAAATATAGCCAAATGTTCAATATAGTTAAAATCTAACAGAAGTTATGTTCTTTTTCAGCAGACCATCTCAGTTTGGAAGCACTTACATATTTATTTCACATCAGAAGATTGATACCTCTGATATACCTCTACTGGAGTCTTTATTTTTCTGTCTTGTTCTATAACACTGAAGAGTAGATCATCCACCAATTATAAAATTTAGCAAGTCCTGTTCTTAGGTCAATCCAATAAGCCTGAAGAATAAAGATCGGTTCTCTGCTTCATTAGCATGAGACATCATAACTCTGTGTTCATTGTATATTATTGATTCAAGTACACAGGCCCAGATTCTGCTCAAATAATTCACTTGGTAGTTGAAGTGAAAATATCTGATGGTTGAAATTGACCTTAAATGTTTAATAGCTTGGGTCCTCTGAGGGGGTCATCAACACTCATTATTACTTCCTATTCAAACCATTATCCTGATCAACGCAGTATTGTTCTTATGATTCACTTGCTGGATGTTTCTTGAAACTGAAATCATAGCATTTTCAAGCTAGAAGAGATTTTACAAATGATAAAACTAAAGGTACAGGAAGGTTAACCATCTTTTCTTCTATTCACTCTTTTGAAACTGGATCCTATTTTATTTTTAATTTGAATGTGATATAAGGATAATTAGAAATATGCCCTATTAGCTCTCTTCTAGCCTAACCCAGACCTATTTGCTAGATGAGCAGGCTCCAAAGACTTGACGTCATGGTTTAAAAATACTCTGAAGGAGAAAGCCATCTAAACAACAAAATCAATCAAGCAGCCAACAAAACCTTGTTGGGGACTTTACAAATGGCATATAGTAAAAAAGAAAAACAACAGTTGGTGCTCTGGTACAGACCTTTGAAAAGCTTGATTACATCACGACACTGACAACAAGTTTTTGTAGCTGTCCTGTATCACAGGGTCACATGTCATTATTAGAAACATAATGAAAAATTCTGTCTTACAATATATTCATTTATCACATAATGTTATTGATTGATTTTAGCAAATGATATAGGTCTGCTGTCATTTCTTTTAAATATTATTCAATACCTTTCTGCATGTGATATGAAAATTGTCTTTAAATGTTAATTTACAGGCTTTAAATCCAGAAACAGAATAATTTTGAGTTCAAGTTACCAAAATCGAGTTGAAACATAGAGAAAAATTAGAAATTATTTCAGTCATAAAGTTATAGCAATCATTTTTCTATTACTGATAAGTTTGACTCATGGTTCCATTTTTTAATCTACTGATATCAATCTGCAGACTTTTTTTTCCTAAAAGAAAAAAAAATGGCATGAGCAATTGTGCATATGATTTCAGAGGATTTAAGGACGCTAAAATATGTCCATGTATCTCAGTGAACTTCAGATTAAAAATATCTGCACGAATTGAATTCAAAGATGGAAGTATCATTATTTACTTGGGAAGAAGGATGACATTCACTTTAATGCCTAAAATTTAAGCTCAGTGTAATTGAACAATCAACAGCTGTAGTTGACTGATAGTGCTTTAAATTTTTTAATAATGTCACGTCACATGGAGGGGAAAAAAAAACAAATCCTCTTAACCAGTCACCATTCAAAGTCAAAACATAGGAATATAAATATTCAGTAGTATTTTAACTCTCATGTATAATTAAGAATGGATTTTGTAACTCGAAATGTAATTCTCTCAGGGAAGTATGTCATATTACTCAAGATTCACATTAGGAATATTTGTAGATTAATATTTTTATTGTTGAGTGGCAAAAATAACATATGTGGATTTAAGCCAAGTGATGATGTACTTTAAGCAGTTCGGTTATGGTACGAGAAAGGAACAGCTGGTTGTCAGCAGTGTTTACTGTGACTTTAACAGACCACAGCAGCTACAGAATGCAGTCTTAATGAAGAAGCTCTAAAGCCGCCTGTGGAAAGAATTACAAATGTTTCAGGAATGCCACAGTGATTTGTTTTCTTCTATGGGTAACCAAATAAATCTGAGATTTCATTGCCTAAAAGAGGTGAAGTCCACAAGATGTGAATGTTAACAAATTCTTCAGGCTCTTTGAACACTAGTTTCATTTATTCTTTCTATTTTTCACTCCATAAGTGCTGTATTATTAGCATGGAGCAAAGGGAATAAATCCTTACAATTGTTTGACAAGCTAAAGTTCAGTACTGTGGGGCCGCATCAATTTGAATTTCATGTACCACTATTTCCCTTGACATTTCACCATAGGGGGATCCCACACATTTACCAGGCTTCCATAATAAGTACAGGAGTATATTTGGAGCATATAATGAGTGGATACACACAAGATTGTGAGAATTTAAGTCAGTGTAATTTGTCAATTGATATGTGGAATTAGACTTTAATTGGAAATGAGTATTTCAAAAGTAGAAGTGTAGTATCTACGTTATTTAGTGTCAGAAGAAAGACACATGTGTGTCAGAAATTAGGACATAATGAATGACTAAGGCAGGAAAGTGTAATAAAATATGCTTTAGCACACAGCAGTTTTGTGAATTTTGAAATAGAGTAGAATCCAAAGTAGAAGAGATTCTCAGAATCTTCTCTTTTTAGTTGTTTCAACATGATTCTATAAACCACAGTTTAGCAAACAGTGATCCATAGAGCAATTCTGGCCTATTAACAGTTATTTGTTGTTGTTGTTGTTTACATTTCATTAGATCACAGTGACAGTCATTTATTCATGTACTGTCTATGGCTGATTTAGTATTGCACTTGCAGGGTTGAGTTTCTGCAACAGAGATTATAAAGGCCTACAAACTTTAAAGATTCATTATCTGACCCTTTACAAAAAAAAGTTTACTAGCCCCACTGCATGAAAATCATGAAAGGTTTAATTCACATTGTTTGATTTGTGGATTTCTTTAAGATCTCTTATTTAACCATATAGCCTCTAATATAAGCCAGAGAGATAAAAACAAATTTATATTTGTCATAGATATTTTAATACAGTAAATGATAAATTCATAGTTGCATTAGAGTTTAATCAGGACAATAGAACTACCAAAAATTTTGTCAGGTTAAAGAGATTACTATAGAAATTAGAATTTACATGAACGTGAAAGGAACTGGGTAAGTGAAAGTCAGAAAGGTGAGAATTGAAAGAGAAGCTACAATCACTGTCAATAACAGCCTGAGTCACTGCAGTCAGGCAGAGTTGAGCTTCAAGGGAAATCCTAAAAGTCATACATAGCTGGCTGTCAGGTGAAACCATCAAGGGCAAACTGGTAGAGATTGGTGGAATTTGCTGCCTTTAAAGACACTTGTGTGAAGGGCTTGTCAGTTGACTTGGGTCCACTCCTGGTTGCTTGGGGACAGTACTTTGGGATACTCCCTGGATTCTGGAATCTGCTGTAAACCTCTGTTTCTCTCTCAACCTGATCTGCTCCTGAGATCTTTAGAAAGTAATGGTTTCTTTATTTCTGTCAATTCTTACCAATTCCAGCTTATACATATACATGAAAAAGAAATATGGGAAACAGAGTTTCCAGTTTTAGCTAAATTAACAACTATAGATTATGCTCAGAGATTCTGTGAGCCAGCAATTTGGGCAAGGCACAGCAGGAAAGATTGGTCTCTGCTCCACTTGGCATCTTCTGCTGAATTTTAAAGACCAAGAGGTGGAATCATCTGAAAACATATTCGCTTACAAGTCTGGTGGTTGGTGCTGGGGAAACCCAAAAGAGCTAAGAGCTAGGGCTGCTGAACCTCCTTAGGCATCTTTATTTCACAGTATTTGGACTTTTTACATGTCAGCTCAGGTGTCCAATGGTACCTTTCATAAGAATAAGAAGTCAGGTGGAAGCTTTATGATTTTTATAACCAAGCTTCAGAACTGCTTATCATAACTTTGCCATTCTCTATTAACATAAACAGTTGCAAGCTTCTGCTGAGATTGAAGGGGAGCAAACGAAGACCACACCTCTTGTTGGGAGCAGAGTCAATCACATTGTCAGAGGGAACATATTTCTTCAACCCAGTTTGGAAAGCAAAACCTGCCACATTTTTAAAAAATGGTCATTCTTTCTGTAACTTCCTAACAAATAAATTTAAATTTACATTTTAGACTTTCTAATTTTTTGATATCACCACTCAAGACTAAACTCACCTCATGGAACAGCTCAAATTATTTTAAAATTTGATTGTTTCTTGTGTGCATCATGACATATTTACAGATATAAATTTCCAGAACTGTAAATTTTCCTCAGAGCACAGCTTATAGTATTTTACAATTTGATACTCTTTAACTTACTCTTTAACTTATGCAATTATAAGTTTCTAAATGTACAATTATGTTTTACATTTTTCTTTCTTCATTATTATCTGCCCAAATTTTGTTGTGGTCACAACATGTAATTTAATAATATGATTTAAGTTTATGAACTTTTTTAAATGATCCAGCTTGTTCTCAATTTATATAAATAACTTTTGTATGCTTAAAAAGAATGTGTATTCTTAGTTGTTGATTTTATTTTTTTAATACACAGACACATTCGACAAATTATGTTAATTATGTTGTTTAAACTGATTCATAAAATATGATTGGTATCTTCTATATCCTGAGAATTGGTGTTTATGTTTGGAAAATGTGAATTAAGAACATAGACACAAATCCCACCTCCCAATGAGCTTGTATTCTATAAAGACAAAAAAGGAATAATTAACATAATAACTAACTAAATAACTAAGTAAGTATAAATTAGAAATAATAAGTCACATGAGAGAAAAATGAGGAATGAGTATCATTGACATCTGTTGGTGTGGTGATGTTGATGGATTGCAACACTATATAAGGTGATTAAGGTTGGTTTCGTTGACAAACAACTTTTGTGTACAGATATCATTGATGTAAGGGAATGAGCCAAGTATATTTTTTTTCCAGTCAGAGGAAACATCCAATACAAATTCACTTATTTGGGAAGATCCCTGGCCATTTTGAGAACTAACAAGCTGGAGAAAGGTAATCAAATTTGAGTGAGTGTAGTAACAGCTGAAGTCAGAGAAAGCACATGAAGCTAGACAGTTTTGTAAGATTTTGGCTTCTACTCACAGGAAATTGTGAGTTATGACATGATCTGCTTTCTGTTTTCACAGTATTACTCCACTCTATTGAGAATGGACTTGGTAGAAGGAGGCAGTTATTAGTTAAGTGCAGGAGTCCATGCAGAAATGATGGTGAGTAAAACCACGGTCCTAGAAACAGAGATAGAGATGAGTGGCTAGGTTCTGAATATATTTTGAAGATA